ATGTGCGGGGGCGGGGGGGGGGCGGGGCCGGGGGCGTTTGGGCAGCCGTTTGCTCCAGCCGTTGGGGCGGTTCGTTGTTCAGTACGCCCCGGCTCTGTGGGAGGCTGCCAGCCGCGGGTGGTTTTGAGGAGACGGGAGCCGTGCTTGCCGCCGAGGGCCGGCCCCGGTCCCCCGTCGCCTCACGGGGAGGGAGAGGAAAGGTGGCGGGCTCTCCCCGGGAGCCCGGGGGCCGGGCGGGGCTCAGGTCCCCGGGAAGAACTGGCCTGTGTGCTTTCGATTCACAGCCACGAAAGATGAGGCGAAAAAGCAGCGTTACCGGCAGAAAATATCCGAGTACATGACCAGAGCCGAAGACATTAAAAAACACATTGAAAAAGAGAAAGAAGGTATGGAGCTGCCATGTACCCGTTCGCATTTAAATACCCGTTGTTACGTGAACATTTTATGGGCGAGGTGGTTAACACAGGAGTTATGTCATGATCTTCACTGAAAAAGAGACTTTTCTTTTCAGACGGCAAATACCATAAGCAAATCAGGATAGAGGAAAATGCAACAGGTTTCAGCTATGAAAAGCTTTTCCAAGAGTACCTTACTGAGATTGTTTCTGAAGTTTGGGTGGAGGACCCCTACGTTAGGCATGTTCATCAGGCAAGTAGATATTCAGTGTAAGTGATACGTATGTAACTACTAAAAGAATTCCAAGTTACTAAATTAAATAAAACTTTTACAGTTGTATAACTTCCTACGATTCTGCGAGATGCTAGTTAAGGGGCCGTGCAAAGTGAAAACAATCCACCTCCTCACTTCCTGTGATGAAGTAAGTGTCTAGGTTTGGGGTTCTGTTTCCCCGTACTTGGGTGATACCACATGCAAGTATATATGTATATATAAAAATACTTATTTTTAAATATGGATTTGTTCTTACTTACCAGTACCTGTTAGACTGAGGCTCTGATGCCTTCAGCAGAAAACAGATTAAGAGGAAAATAAAAATGTGATAGTTGAACATAAGTAATTTTATAAGTTCAGAGTTTTCTGATAACTCTAACAAATTCTTGGTAGGCAGGATCTTAAATGGAAAAGATATTTTTGTGACAATTTTGTTGTGGAAAATGTCGCCAAAACCAAAACATCTATTGAGAGTTTTTTTTCTCTTCCAACAGCTGTATATAGTTGTCAGACTTTTAGACGCTTTGATGAGCTAAAATCTCTCAAACTGTCACTGCATTTATTTTGGTTCAAATAGTAATTCATATCTAGTTTCAAAAGGCTGAGAATGAGCTCCTCCTCCACATCCCTTAGCAAGCGTACCTGTAATCTGTCTGCTTTTTATCCTGTCTTTGAAACTGCCAATCTGCCTTCATCCAAGTTACTTTCTTTTGGTTTAAGTTATTACTAAAAAAGTTTTGTTGCTGAGTTTGGGAAGAGGTGACCAGAAGTAGAATATATGGTTAAAAAAAAAACCCACCACAGTACTTTTACTTTTAACAGGGTAGTGGGAGGAGTCAGCAGATAAGTGGCTTGGAAGAAATACAACAGTCATTGAAGAATTATGGAGTAACATTGGATATTGCATTTTCATGTTCAATACATGATCGAGAAATTAGGTGGGTGATATAATATAATCAGTGAATGCCAGTTATTTGAAGTCAAATTACTTAACCCTAACTTTTGAGACAATTTCTAATTACAGCTGTGGTTAACAAAGTGGAAGGCAGTGGCCCTAACTGGATAAAATCAGCCCTCCATAGTTTCATGTGTTCTAACCGTGAACGCAATAGTAGATATCTCTTTATACAGAACAGTGTCTTCCATGGTTCATACAGGTATCGGCAACACTAGGAAATAACTGTGATTGAGACAAGGAGTGTTATGTGGATATAACTCTCCTTTAATTCAACATACTCGTAGTTTTCAAATTTGCAATTTTTTAAAACAGATTCAACAATGGATGGATGATTAAGATTGGAAGAGGTCTTGATTATTTTAAGAAACCACAGGTAAGAATGCTTTGACCTCTTTAATTAAATTATACTGCAGAAGAGCTCATTCTATGTTCACCGTGCTAATTCTGTTAATTTCCGCAGGGTCGTTTCAGCATTGGATACTGTGACTTTGACTTGCGACCTTGTCATGAAACAACAGTGGATGTATTTCATACTAAACATACAAAGAAAATGTGATCAGATATGACTGCTTTTTATGAGTGTTTTTATAAGCATAAAAATGCAAGACTGGAAGATGCCTCAGAAGCAACTCTTCTAAGTACTTAGTCCAGCACAGCTTTTATAATCCATAGGTTTAAGAATATTGGAGACTTTTCAGTCTGAGAAAACACAACTGTACAATTCCTCCACTGTACTTCTCCCATAATCTTAGTTAATACAGTCCATGTCTAAATTTGATCTTGATTTCATAACAGACCCTCGGTACTGTCTCTGAAAGGCCTCTTTACTGCCATTTCCATTTTTACTATTAATTTTGTCTTGAGGAAATTTTGGGGTTTATATCTTTAATTGACCACATCACAAACATTTGAAGCTGGGCTGCCACATGTCCTCTTTTATAAGCAGCCTTATTTATTTCCTTTAATTCCTGTATTCCAATCATGACTACTGTTCTGCTGTGTTTTGGTCAGTCCTGTAACACCTGATTTCACAGACTTTGGTAGCAACCCCAAATCTAACATTCCATTTTCCAAGCTCCTTGCATACAAACATTGTAGTGTTCAATATACAGACGTTTTAGGGTTGTCTTACGTGTTTCTGCATGATGGATTTGGGTCTGGAAAAGGTGCAAACAGCTGTATTCTTTTCCCGGTCACTCCTGTATGTTCTTTTATTCCGTGATGTATGGTCATATACCTCATTTCCATCCTTTGCATTAGGTGTGAAAAGGTTGTTTGATCCTCTCCCTGACTTCCAAGTTTATTGTCCTTCCAGCTAGTCATGCCAGTCTGAACTGCAGTAAGCTATTTCTCTGCTACTAAGATAGTCCCCTAAAAAAATAGTAACTGATTTTTAAATTCTTCCAGAAATTGGATACCCTGAATGTTTCTTGTTAATAATGATTCTAAGGAATATGCTAATTGGAAAAAAGATAAAATCTTTTCTTGTCTTCCCTTCATCCTCTGGAAAATGGAAGGTATCACCTGAGCTGCTGCTTTTTTTTTTTTACAAGAGTTCTTGATCATTGCCAGCAAGAATCTGGCAAAGTCGTATATTCTGACGTGAAGAACAGGCAGTGGCCTCTTTTACAGGTCCCATCAAAATCTTTTCAGCCTCAGGACTGATAGGTGCCTTACGTCTTCTGCATCTTGTAATACAATATCCTTCCATATTCTAGTAGCATGTTCACTGCTAGAACTTTTTCCTATGGTTTTTTTTTTTTTTTCGTGGTGGCTGGTGTATTCCATTATCCTTTTTTTATTATTTGCTTTATTCTTCTTTCACCTTCTGTCATCTAATGCCATTATTCTTTTAGACTTGCCTCTAACACAACAAATCTATTCCACAGCTATCAAGAAGAAACAGAGCTGGTCTTTGCCTTGTTCTCTGGGTCACAGTTTGTCAGTGGTCTGCTGCCTTTACCCTTTTGCGTAATAATGTCTCCGCTTTTTAGTGTTACATCAGCGAAAAGAATAACATACGTGCCACAGAAGGTGTACGCTACCAGTTGGTCCTACCAAACATTCCATAGGATCTCCCTGTCTTGCTGCTGTGATACCAGGTGTCTGGTCACTGTCATCAGTTTTATTCAGTTGTGTATAATATAAGCCTATTCTTAATGGGAATAAAGGTTATTTTTTATTATTTGTAGTTTTAGTCACCTGTTTGAATTCTTCTCTGCACTACATAGGGGTATTGAAGGAAGCTGGGTAGTGCCTTATATATAGATCAGCCATGTTTGGGAGAAGGTTCCCTCTAAATACAGTAAGCTTCCCAAATGTGAAGCTTTCTATCTTTTAACCTAGCCCAGCCATTTCAAACATACAGGGGCAAAATAAAAAGCCACCTTAAGTGTTTTAGATCAACTTTAAATCTTAATTGGAAATCAAAATAAAAATCTTTATGCTTGCTGCATCTTGTAATACAATATGCATCTCTGCTCTAGTAGTAAGCCCCTATGATGTGGTCCTTTACAAATACCACAAGAGGCAAGCGTCATCTTCGCTCTCTTGGCTGTTCACTGCTAGAGCTTTTTCTCTGTTCTCTAACTATATTATAATTCACTAGCTAAGACTGCAGATGTCCTTGCAGATCTTGTGGATATGCGATACCTGTACATACGTACAACTAAGCCTTTAGGAACGTCCCAGTTGGCGCTGCACTGCAGTTTTTACCTATAAGCCCTTTATCCCTGCATAGTTCCTTTCACTGGCAGTAGGAACACCAGGTATGAAGAGGAATGGGCATCAATGGATGGGAAAAAAGACCGATCAGAGCAATCTAAGAATACAGTTCCACAATCAATTTACTGACTCCAGGCCACGTTCTTCTGTGCCGCCACTGGCACTGAGGGAGTCAGGTGGTCACCTGGGTTGTGCAGCCAGGACTGTAGATGAGCTTAAGCCACCCTCCCAGCTGGAGTCAGCCGAGTCTCACTCAGCCCTGCAGCGCGACTGCCAGTCCCAGCCAAGGGCTGGGTTCACCCCCGCTGCCTGCTCTCCTTAGCCAAGGGTAGGGCCCTTCCACCGTGTCGCTTCCTCGTACTGCCATCTTTTAAAGACCACAGTGTGCAAGTAACACAGTAGCACCTCATTGGCCTTTGCAGGCGTCGCTTGTTAGGAAATATTTGCAGCTAATGGTCTCGTCTGCACGATTTAATTAGCAAGAGAGGGAAGTATTCATCAACGGATATACTGCCTAGGGCTTCCTAATCTGCCTGTTTAGATCATCCTTATCTGAAGAATTTCAGTCACTGCTGTTACTTACCATATCCTGCTTATTTGACAGTCTGGTAAAGAACGCATTGTGTAACTGAGAAGTCTATAAACTGTAATTGCCTCACTTCAGCAGAGATCCTGTCAGCAGAGGCTATCTCTGCTGCTCTGTGTTCTCTCCTATAGCAATATACCGCTGCTGTTTTGACCTGATCAAAATTGCATTCCAGTTATTCCGTGACAGAATTTGGTGCTGCGACTTGGATTCGCATGTCCTGCGTCGCCTGGGAGGACCGCAGACTGATCCCTGCCGAAACCCCCTTAGTGCCGCTCAGAAAGGTAAGGGACCTTTTGAAATCCCTACTGGAGCTTCAGCCGAGGGCTGCCTGTATGGACAACAAGGATGCTGGAAGTCAGAATGTCCTTACAGACCTAATCCTAAGTCTTTTAAGTCCAGCAGGATTCAGTCACCCTAACTTTCCACTCAACGTTTCCTTCATGCCACAGCCTCAGAAATGCGATTAGGACAGCCCCAAGGACATAAACATCATTGCTCCTTTGCTTTCTTTAGGCCAGACTGGTCCTTATTTATCTTGCCCTATTAACAGCAAGATTCTTTCTTGCCTAGTTGATACTGGCTTTTCTCAATCCACTTCATGTGCCTCTGATTTTCCTGCAGTTCCCTTATCTTCATAAGTAGTGAACGCTGTTGGTATTTCCCGACAACCCGTATGTCATCCGGTAACAAGCCCTTTGTCTGTAACTATCCGCCTCATTTCTGGATACCATGCTTTCCTTTCAAGTCCTACCACCCCAGCTGAACTTCTGGGAAGACTCTTAGGTAAACTGGGTTGTGCTCTATACTGCGCCCTGAATGGAATTTACCTTGATGTGCTCACACCTTGACAGGGTGAGCCAGCAGGGTGCTCAGGTGGCCAAGAGGGCCAATGGCATCCTGGCTTGTATCAGAAATAGCGTGGCCAGCAGGACCAGGGAGGTGATAGTGCCCCTGTACTCAGCACTGATGAGGCCGCACCTCGAGTACTGTGTTCAGTTTTGGGCCCCTCACTACAAGACGGACACCGAGGTGCTGGAGCGTGTCCAGAGAAGGGCAACGAAGCTGGTGAAGGGTGTAGAGCACAAGTCTTATGAGGAGCGGCTGAGGGAGCTGGGGTTGTTTAGCCTGGAGAAGAGGAGGCTGAGGGGAGACCTTATTGCTCTCTACAACTACCTGAAAGGAGGCTGTAGCGAGGTGGGGGTTGGTCTCTT